ATCCATAATGCTGTTGGCCCCACTGGGTATTGAGCCGGCCAATAAAGGAGATAGATAGATAGATAGATAGATAGATAGATAGATAGATAGATAAAAAACAAATAGATAGGCAACAGACTTGGGTAACATAGATAGATAGATAGATAGATAGATAGATAGATAGATAGATAGATAGAAACTTAAATAGATAGATAGGCAACAGACTTAGGTAACATACTTAGATAGATAGATAGATAGATAGATAGATAACAGACTGAGATAGATAGATAGATAGATAGATACATACATACATACATACATACATACGATGTGTTTTATTTATGTAGATTTTTTAAACGAATTTTGTAAAAATTAATAAACCGTTAAGGTTTATGAACTTAAATGAATTTCAAAATATAAAATGATTTTTACGAGGAATTCCGAAATCTTTTCTGTTTTCATTTCAGACGCGTATTTCTCATTTAAACATTTTTAGTTTCTCCTTTCTTAATCCGATGTCATGCTTCCACCACATACGTTGTGTGTTTGTGTGCATGTGATTTTAACCGTATGCAGAACACCTCAATGACCTCTCTGTCGTCATACAAAATTACATTAAAATATTTTCAGACTCACCCTCTTTCTTTATTTTTTCTTCTCCTTCCTCCCCACTTCAAGTTCTGCCGATGACAAGTCAGACGCTGTTTTGAAATTCTTCGAATGTCCCACCAATTCTCTTTACAATAAATGCTTATCTTTTGTTTTTCGACGAGTATGTCTTTCAAAATGGTAGGATTGCTGTTGGGAGTTCGTTGCTATTTGAAGACAGAAAAAAAAAACTCATCGGACGAAATGCAACTTTATGTTAAGTAAATATTCGGATTATAATCGATACTAAATTGTCTATACATATTGATTGATTCTCATCGAAATTATTTAAATTCGTCCGGTTCACACCCGGCCCTGATGTTTTGGTCAGAAATAAAGGTCTATCGCTTGTTTCCTGTTTAGGATTGGATTTCTGGTTCCGTCTAAAGTCTTTTCATTCTCTCTCAATCCCAGTGGCCCCCATTACGTCATAGTGACGTCATCGCATTGGTTGGGGGTGAATTGATTTTTTTAAAAAAATGATCATAACTGAAAGGTATTGATCATCATCGATATTTTTTATTCCTGGTAATACCGACGAAGGTGGGAGAGTTTATCGGCCAGCATAGTGATCAAAACAATAAAATGAAGACTTTTGTGAATAAGTGATTATTAATTAATTAGTAAGGCTTCATCTTAGAATTTCACACAACATTAAGGAAGGCTGAGTATTTTGTCATCCGAGGCGTAAAGATCGAGGCAACAAGGATAACGATACTCGTCAGAATAATGACAAACGTAAGGCTACTAATCTAAATAATGGCAACGTATCTTAGAAGTTCAGGCAAGGCTGAAAATTGTTGGATAATGTACCGGTAAAAATGTTATGACATTCGAAATGTTTTGGTGAAAACGTATCCCAAATAGATGGAGTCGTGGCTCAAAGCTTTCGAAGTATTTCTAGAGGTCTTTCGACTGATCCCTTGCCCCGAATAGATGGGCTCATGACACAAAACCTTCGAAGTGTTTCCGATGGTCTATCGGGTGACCCCTTACACCGAATAGATAGTGACTCAAAACTTCAGAAAATAAATTTTGCGTAAAAAAGATCAAAATACATTTTTATCTATTTGTATATTTTCAGGCGAATGTCTTCGTTATAATTATTTGAAGGGGACAGGTCTTAGCCAGTATCTGTCTATATTTCTTAGATGAGGTATTATGTACACTATTTACATTATTCCGACTATTGTCCTCATCTTTGTTGCCATATTTATTACAACGTTTCTGCCGGGGGTTACAACGGTTGAAATGTTGTAATAATAACAACAACGTTTAACTGTTTCAATTTTAATATATACTAAAGTATATATATACTATATATTACTATATAAAATATATTGTATAACACATACATTGACCTTGTAAGTTGTTGGCACATTGAATTCTTTTAAAACCCTAAGTCGGGACATAGTTAGCAAAAGGTTGCCGACCCCTGGGATAGGATAACGTCCTGATTGATGAAAATAGAAATGTTTAATCGTAGATGCCAAATTAGTGAAGTTCAAACTTCAAAATTCAACAAACAAATTGTTTTCACATGGAGATAAATAAAAAAAATCATAACTTGAGCCTGTGTTTTGCTTTGTTTTTAAACTGTCCGAACCCCAGATCAACTTGTGTTTCTGTGTTTTAACATCTCAAATCAGACGATCTCTATTCTATGACATAAAAGCCCAAAACGATACTCTAAAATTAAGCTGTTGTTCAAGGTAATACTCAACATCTTCAAATATCTGTTTCTTTCAAAGAAGAAATGTCTTCAAGCTATAGATCAAAATATAACCAGTAGAGACGTACCTATCATTATCTCCCCTCCCCCCTACCCTTGTAGAATTCTCTTTCGGCCTATTGATTTCCACTGGGTAACTGCCTGGGAATACCAAGTATTGTAACCTTGGATGTGCGGGTGGTGCAATGGATAATGACTTGGAATTGTTAATCGGCGAGCCGAGTTCGAATTCCAGTCGAATCCATTACATTCACTTACATGCTAATACACTTGGGAAATCTTCTTCTCCCTCCAGCTATGGGTAAATAGCAGGATAGACTGGGTTCTATAGCCTTGGATGGCAACTGGTCTAGGAGACGGACAACTCTGAATTCAAACCCAGAGTGGAGCCCCTAAGGCGGATGGACGGCACTTTGTGCTACCTTCTGGCAATTCCTGCAGCCGCGCTGGTACCAAACTGCATTGGTTTATCCTCTCCTTTGGAGTCTGCTAGCAAGTCCGAGAAGGGGGAACTAGACGTCTGGGCAGCCCTAGTTCTCCATATATCCCGCCCCAGGCTTGTACTCCATCGTCTCTCGAGACGGACGGGTGCCGACGACGACGACGACTTACGCGCAAATACCCTTAGGAATGATTCCACTCTTTCTCACTTCTAATGGTGTTAGTGATACAACCCTTAGTAACTAACTAAGGGTTGTATTACTAACACCATTATTATCTAAAAAAAATCTTACAATCTAAAAAAATAATCCCTGATTGCAAAGGGTTGATAAGCCGTAAATAACGAATCAATCAATCAATCGTATTGCTTCCCAGTCAACTTTCCTGTTCAAAAATTTAAATGCATTGCCAATCGTTATCTTCTGTCTTCTTAATTCCTGCTCTTTTATTGCTCTCTCTCATTAATAATGTTTTTCTTTTCCTCATATTCTTTCACACTCAATAACCCCCCCCCCTTGCGTCTTAGTGGCTTTATTGCCTTGCAAGCGGTGAAATAATTGTTAGCAAATAAGACTTTCTTTCTATTTCCATTTAATATTATAGATTAGGCTCGAGAGGAAAAATTTTGAATTTCCATCCGTGGATAAGGTAAAGAAAAACTACTCCACTATCTTTCCCAATGATATATGACAATCTACAGGTAATAAAGAAAACGAAATTGTGAAGAGCCATAATCAAATATGTCCTGAATAGACATAACACTCTTTATGCTAATAATCTATATTGTCTCGTTAGACAACATAGATACCTCAACCAGATAACTCAACTTCATATATAAGAATCGACAGATATTTTTAATTGTTTTTATGGTGGTAGGGGAGAGTTTTGTTTATCACTAAATACTGTACTGTATTTAAAAATCTGTCCGTTCAATCATCGTCTACTATACTCTACTTTTGAAAATATCTCAATAAATGTCGGGATCTATAAAAGTTAGCATTATTAATTATCATCATTTAAATGCAAAATAATGCTTTGAATATTACAATACTGTGTTTACCAATTTATAATGTTCTAGATATTATTGATGACTCTATAAAGTGTCACAGTTTGGAGTTGAGAGGGTTAATGAGGCACTATTTGATACTGGTATTATGAAAAGGGTTCATGTGAAAACCTTGTATAAGATTTGGAGTATTGGAAGCATTAAAAAAAGAGGCAAACAAGGATAAGACAGATGTTATTTTTCTATTCTGATAACCAGAAAAGCAGAATAGAATGTTGGGTACAAAATATGATCTGAGAAATGTAAAATGTAAACTGTTTGTCAGTCGAAAAACAAATGAAAATGTTATGATTCGCAAGCCGATAATGCAAACAATCTGAAATATGGTTTTGTAAACATGCAAAGAGGGTGAGATTTTTTATCGGTCATATTGAAAAGTCAACAACAAAGAAAAGTATTTGATGTCAAGTCATGGTGACTCAGATAGTATCAAAACAAAAGCATAGCTCGATTTTGTCATCTGGGATCTGGGCGGATTGACGTCAATCACATAGAAAAAAATTTATAAACACAAGTCTGTTATCGAAGAATTTATTGTTTTGAATAAGTGAAAGTGACCGACCTCATACTGCTTTGTTTGAAGGTCAGTATCGGATCTTTGCAGATCCAATACTGACCTTTTTAAAACACTAAACATTGCCGAAGAGTGAAGGTAGTTAAAATAATAGCGGTGTCAAGGGAAAAAACGTCCTTTTGTCACTCCATCTTATTGACTGTACCGTTTTACCAAGTTTTGAGCCGAATTATAATTTGGCTAGGGATATTTCATAAGAAAGAGACACTGGTAGAAAAAGCACAAAGAAAAGCTTTTTTGTCCAGAAGCACACTGGTAGCCTAATGAGTTTAAACCCCGTCTATGAAAGGTTAACTCAGGATATATTGTTCCCTCATTTGATTCCCATTTCAAGCCATTTCTTCATTCGGAATTCTTGCAGTTTGGGGGAATGGGGGCGGTTAATAATAATAATAATAATAAAGGAAGATTTTCATCGCAAGTCGCTATTATTTTCTGTCTAATCAAATGAAACGAAATAAAGAAAAGATCGAGAAGCGGCGACGATTCTCTTCAAGACTCATCACCTTTTTTTTTTGTCTCTTTTCTTTTCAGGAAGGGAAATCCAGTTACGGTGCCCAATGAAGCTGTGGGTGGTGGTGCACAGTTTTACGAAATCACTTGTCCATAAATTTAAGGAATCGATCCAACACCTGAAAAAAATTGGAATGGAAACAGAAAATGTTTTCTTGACTGGACACGGAGAAGGAGGTAAGATACCAGAAAATAACAGATAATAAACATAAATTCCCTCTCTCATATACATATATATATAGCGAAACAGTACTGTCTGCGAATGACATTATATATATATATATATAAATTAAACCTAAAGAGCCAGACAAACCTACAACGGTTTCAACACAGCGGATCGTCAGGGAATTCCCTGACGATCCGTTGGTGAAACCGTGGTAGGTTTGTCTGGCTTTTTAGGGTTTAATTTAGGTTTGCTCTCTACTTAGCGTATTGAGCACTTTATTTAGTCATTTTCTTACTAGTATCGGTTTTTTTTTTCTTTGGACTCCGAACTTAGATGCTAGACGATTATTTTCGGCTGACGTAAATGTTCTCTGTTCCTTCTTTTTTTAGTACCATTTTTCCCCTTTGGTATTGGTTTGTTTATTTGCAAATCAAAAAACCGAAGGTTTTCCGGACGAGTATAATTTCTTATATTTATAAGATTATAACACACACACACACACACATATATATATATATATATATATATATAATATATATTAATGCCATTCGGAGACAGTACTGTTTCGTTGTATCAGTGCGACTAGACATACGAATGCATCAAGCCAAGATTGAAACCCAACCGATTTGGCGTCAATCAGAGTTTCTACCACTGAGCTATCTTCATTCGGCGGAGTCAGGCAGCTTATTTTTATGAATGTAAACAAATGCCAAACAGCCGGAGTGCTCCATTCATTTTACTGAAGAGCTTTGCGTATATACATACATATATATATATATATATGTGTGTGTGATTTTAAAGTTTATTTTTAGTGGATACCTATATTTGAGCAGATGTTCCGTTTATTTGAAAAGAAAATTTTATTACGCCTACCGGCCTATATATTCGAGAAACCTTATTTAAGAAAAATGCAGGAGGATTTGAACTTGCGTCTCCATTTGCCGGGGAAACCGTCATTAGATCCGATCTGCTTTAAACAACACACTTTTCCTCCTGCAAATATAGTTTCAAATAAACTGAGCGTCAAGTCAAATATGGCTGTCCACTTTAACATTTAAAGTAATAAAAAGATGTCGGATTACATTTGTTTAAGGCCCAAGAGCAACTCGGGTTAGAAGGTTACAGAGTAAGAGGCATCACACAAAACAAAAGCATAATGCTACCAACATGCAACCGGAAGTGAAAGAAAAGGAAAAAGTTTTAAAAGGAACCGGAAACCTATCCTAAACAGGAAACATGTGATAAATCTGTGTTCAAAAGACCAGGGAGGAGTGTGAACCGGACGATAGATGAACTGGCTGACGCTTCAGGGGAGCTAACTAAGTATAGTGTATCGTGAGTTATTTTTAAGAAATAACTATTAAAACTATTAGTGCAACCTTGGTATTTTTAACTACCTATTATATTATTAAAATATATATATATATATATATATATATATATATATATATATATATATATATATATATATCAGTTATATATATATACATATAAATTAGATATATATATAAATTATGACGATTGCGTCTAGCATGAAACAGCCTGTCGCCTCTGAATGTAGACTTCAATGTTCACTTTTATATTTACATACGCTCTATCTCTGATATATACTACTTTATCCCATAAATATAGCATACCATATTTATTTTTTCACATAAATATATATTATTATATATATAATTGATATATATATACAAATTATATATATATATATATATATATATATATAAAGGAAAGAGGTTATAGTTTTCCAACGAGAGAAATATTATTAAAAGAGAAATTAATGTTTTTTGGTTTATGTTTTTTTTCGATGTTAACGACCTTCAGGCAAAGAGTGATATTTCCACATATTATTAAAAGGAATTAATTTTTCTTATGTTTTACGATGTTAATCATTATCGATGTTAAACATTGTCTTTTTTGTGTGTTAGTGACACAGGTGTCTTCCTTGAACTGGCAGTGAAAAAGTTCTTCTGCGTAAAGGGTTATAAAACAATTACGATTGGTTTAAGAAAGAGTGAGAAAAGATATCTGCATTCTTATCTTTTAATGACCTCTGTGTGTTCTTAGATCTATTTCCATTTTTTATGTTTATTTGTCAGCATGCGTATGTATACGTATATTCCCTCTTCATGCATACATACTGTCTTATTATAAGGAATTAGTTTACACATATATACACATATACATACATACATACATACATACACACACACATACACATACACACATACAATCACACACACGTACACACACTTCCTATGTGTAGGGTTCACAGTGTACCCGTGAGCAGTCTTGTTTTTGCCAGTATGTATATATATATATATATATATATATATATATATATATCAGTATGTGTATTCCCTCTACATACACATATACTGTCTTATTATAAGTAATTAGTATACATACATATACACACATGCATACATCCATACACACGCACATATACATACCTATATACATACATGCACATGCACACACTTCCTATATTGTGTTGCATTTACCAACATGCCTGTGACAGTCTATTTGTTTTTGCATATATATATATATATATATATATATATATATATATATTCATACTAATACGCGTGTTGTGTGTGTGTGCATGGATGTGAGTGATTTGACCACTGTATTTGGCCATTATGTGTGCATGTATTGTGTGTTTTTGTGTGTGGGGTTATGATCTATTTAGTGCTGGTTTAAATTTGTTTATGAAGTTTTTTTCTTGTATTTGTAGGTAAGAATAATTGTCTGTTTGATATATTGGCATAATTTTAAATTCACCCTGGTTACATTTATAGATGTGTTGTGATACAAAGAGTTTTCTGTTGTCTGGGAATTTTATGTTGCTTTTGTGTACGGAAATCCTGTTGTTTAGTTGTTGGTTGATACCTATATAAGCATTTTGTGCATTTGAGTGCATAAATCACGTTTTTGGAGTTGCAGTTTAAATTTTTATTTATTATCAATGTCGTTTTGGGGTTTTCAAAATTGTAGAAGTTACCTTCTATAATGATGTCACAAACCCCACATCTTTTTTTGTTGCATTTTGTGATTCCCTCTGTTGTGTGGTGGTTAAATTTCGATGAGGTTAATATGTTTCAGTTTTTTTAGATTGGCGTTTGCTTTTAATTATTTTGGTTGGATATTTTTCAGTTTGTCATTTTTGTTAAGTAGGTGTAGATTTTTTGTAATTTCTGTAAATAGTTCTGGATTGTTCTTGTATGTTGAGACATATACTAGAGTTTGTTCAATGTTACGTTTCTTTGCATTTTGTAGTTGGTCTAAAGGAATTTTTTGCGAGTTCAAAACCTTTGTTCATTAGTGTTGTGGGGTAGTTTCGTTTTTTAGAGTATATCTAGTTCTTCCAGGCGGGTTTTTGGAGGTGTTTGTCAGTCCCTATAGTACAAACCCTACGTGCTACATGATTTCAGGTAGCTTTGGGGGTGAAGGCTCTTGAAATAAAGATATTGTTGGGTATCTGTAAGTTTGTGGTAGATATCTGTGATTATTTAGTTGTTTTTATTTCTAATGAGTATATCTAAAAATGGTAATTCGTTGAAATTATATTCTTGGGTGAATTTGATTTTTTGGTGTAAATTCTGAAGTAGAGCGTGGAATTGGTTAATATCACCCCATGAGGATTTCCAGAAAATGAAGCAATCATCTAAGTATCATTTCCAAGATTTAGTGAATTGGGTTTTTATATTTTCCCCATATTTTTTTTTCTATCTTTTCATATAGGTTTTCCTCTAGGTAAGCTAATGTTAGGGTGGTATATGTTGGCGCATATATATATATATATATATATATATATATATATATATATATATATATATATATATATGCTTTCCCCTTTCCTTTTCATACTGTGCCTAGATTACGCCTGCGAATACCTGCTGCTCTAGAAACAGATCTTTGAAAAAAGCAAGAAGTTCACGTCATCCAGCAGAAACAATAATAGACTAGATTACGCAGATGACCTTGTCTTGTTGTCAGACACGATTTATAAGGCTACCAAATTTCTCCATCTCATCGAAGAAACAGCCAGCGAGATTGGTCTCTACATTAATGCTGGCAAAACAGAATGTATCAGCTTCAATCAAGAAGGAGAAATTAAATTGATAAACGGCAACAACATCAAATCCGTCCAGGAATTTGTTTACCTCGGTAGCAAGATCAAGTCAACGAAGAGAGACATCAAAATTCGCAAAGGCAAGGGTGTCTTTGATGGTCTGTGTACCATCTGGAAGTCCTTCCTCTGATAATCTTAAGAGGGGCTTCTCTAAGGCAACAGTAGAATCTGTCTTGCTCTACGGCTGAACAACATGGACACTGACGAAACGCTAAGAAGTATCAGTTGACTGAACATACATAAGTATGTTACAAGTTACATTGGACATCAGCTGGAAGAAACACCCAATAAAGAAACGCCTTTATGGACACCTTCTTCCTATCTCAGTTTCGCTAAGAGACAGAAGGCTTTGGCTAGCTGATCACTCCTGGGGGAGAAAGTCAGAACTTGTGAGTGACACCCTCCTATGGAACCCATTGCGCGGCAAAAGTTGGAAAACCTCAGCACACCTACATTGACCAACTTGTAGATGACTGTGGATGCCATGATAATTGGTAGGAACAAATCAGGAGAATCCGAGAAGAATTCTCTACCTGATGATGACGATGGTAAATATAAGCCTTAAATTATACTCTTGCAAATAGTCAGTTAGATTACGGTCTGAGTTCTGGTTCTGCTGTTCGAAAATTTTTCGGGGTCAACTTCGACACGTGTTTGGGGTCTTGTTGGAATGGCCACACATGTTCTTGCTTGATGCATTGATCCGAAAACCGAAGACAGAATTCTTTTTTCATGATCGTAAAAAAATAAGAATATTTCAAAAAGAAAGTCACAATTTGTTTTATGTCAGCTGATGGCCGGCCAGTTTAGCTTCATAAAGAATTGTAGACAACATGATAGCTTATTTTAGTGGGGGGATTTTTAGTGGGGGAGATTTGGGGTGATATATTGGTGGAGCGTTATTTCTTAAGGTTCGTAAGTAAAGTCTGCAGAAAGCTTGGTTTGCTCTTGGTCGTTCGCTGTCTTTTTCCGACTTGACGTTCGCAAGCCAATCGTTACTTTGGCGGCAAATGTTCGAACAAAGCTCCATTCTTTGGTGTCAACACCTCATATCTTTGTGGAGCAGATACCTGCGTGGATGATTTCCCAAATACTAAAATCTTAACCTCTTTATGTTTAGGGTCAATCGTTATCTAACTTCAGTATCCTCATAATCTTCACTGCTCTCACTTTCATATTACACATATCTTACACATTTCAGTAACAATCTACAGTAAGTCGCTCATGGGTTATGTATAGATTGAACGTTAGTATAAAACAAAAGTGAGATTCTGGACAGTCTCCCTCTTCGTCAGACTAATTCTGTAGGCGTCTCGCCTTGGCTGAATAATTATGGATCCAATTTTTCAGGTCATTACTACTCTTAATTAGTTCTTTGTATTAATTTGTCCTTAAAAATATAGTAAATTACTTGTCAAATTAAATCGTATTAACGGAAAAATGAGTTTCCTTGATGAATTTTAGATAAGATTTTGGACAAAACCAGGAAAGATCAAATATCAAAGCCAGGAAAGATCAAATGTCAAAGCCAGGAAAGATCAAAGGTCAAAGCCAGGAAAGATCAAATGTCAAAGCCAGGAAAGATCAAAGGTCAAAGCCAGGAAAGATCAAATGTCAAAGCCAGGAAAGATATATTGTCATTGGCAAACCTGTTGATATCCGTTTTCTCCTTCTGACTTCCACCTATAAACAGTTTACGGCGGTATCACGTTGAAACACCGGTTCTCGTTCAATAAACGAAATTAAAGCAACGTCAAGCTTAGTCACTACCTAGATGAATTAAGAATGCCAGTTAATGCTGTTAATTTGGACGTGCGGGTGGTGTAATGGATAACGACTCGGAATGAGAAATCGGAGAGCCGAGTTCGAATTCTGATCGTTATTCCCGTTATATTCACTTATCTGTAAATACACTTGAGGATGCTAGGAATTCACCTCTTCTGTCCCACTATGGATTAAATAGTAGGCCCTATGTCTTAGTCATTATTATCTCGAAAATATTGTTAATATAATATTCACCCATAAAAAAATTATACTTACAGTCCAAAAATAGACCGGCTTTCGATAACCTGCAAAAGGTTGATAAGCCGTAAAATGATGAAAATTATTTAAAATAAGATTTTGGTCAAAGACCACATGGGTAAAAAAAAAATGGCTAACTAAAATAAATAGGATTTAACGGATTTTCAGTATAGTGAATTTCTAAGCGTAGCTTAGATGTGGTACAAGGCCGAATGTGTAGAGTAGCCAGTATGGACCGAACTCACTACTCACTCGTAATTGATCTAGCGAGACAAACTTGCTAACCATTAAACCTCATGAGGTACCCACGGATTTTTAGTATAAATGGACACGCCTCGCCTATTTGTCGGTTTAATCGAGAATTTCATGTAATATCTTTTCTAATTCGATCTAAGCAAATTTTATGAGAAATCGTTTACCTAATGATTGTTAAATGAATTTGCTATCTCTGTTTGTTTTTTTGTTTTTGTTTTTTTGTTTTTGTTTTTGTTTTTTTTTTTAAGGTCTGGAAGTTCAGCTCCTGGCCCACGCCAGTATGAAAATCCTTTCGGGAGTTATTCTCCTTGGATCTTATCTGCACAGGAAACTCTCCTACACTGACTTCCCTGTTCCAATCTTTACCGTTGTAGGAGATTTGGATGGAGTCACTCGCATCACGCGAATCGCAGAAGCCTTTAAGTAAGCGATTTTATTTGAATTTCTTTTCAAGCGGCAGATTTACAATTCAAATTGTTTGTCTTTGTTTCTCACATGAAAAACGGGCATTTGCTAAAACGTTCTTCTTCCAGTTTTGTATGGATTTATTATTAGAAAACCTAATTCCGTGTGTAGGTATGTGTGTGTGTGTGTGTGTGTGTGTGTGTGTGTGTGTGTGTGTGTGTGTGTGTGTGTGTGCACGCGCGCACGTGCCTATTAACACGTTTAGTGCTGAACTATGTTAAACTTGTCGCTACCTTATACCCGTTTCGCACCAAACGATGTTACTTACCTAACGTCCCCCTTCTGAAAATCCCCGCCTTGTCTCCACTTTATCCTCCGTACATTTTCATGAAAAATACCTGTTTTCGTTGATGATGGACTCGATCAACATTAATGACGTCTGACTGTTGCCCCTAAAGCAAAACGCGACTAAAGAGGGTGCCTGCCGTAGAGAGATGAATACCAACATTATTATTATTATACTGATTTCCATTCGAGCCTTTTCATCATTTAAAAGACAAAGAAAAAAAACTTTTATCTCTAAAGTGCTGAGACAATATTTTATTGTTATTTAGCCAGGCCTGTCGCTAGAATTTTCTGATTAGAATGAGAAGGGGGTCTTTAATCCAGAGAGAGGTGGTCGAATAACAATTTATAATCTAAAATTAGTTCCCGTCATGTTCACGAGGGAGGGTAAATTATTTTCGGGGTGAGCACCTCCTTTCCCATGGTGATTAGTCTGTATTTACTAAAGTTTTAGAAAAAAAAACAAAAAAAAAACAAAACATCCACATCTGTTCTGTTACAACAATAAAATTTCAGCAGATAAACTCTCCAGCTGTTTCACGGGTAACTGATACACCCTTTACAACATTTAAAGAGCGATTAATGAAATCTTTATTTTTTTAACAGGGACGCTTATACTTATAATCAGAAAGAGACAGTCGAAATTTCTAGGGTACATAATGAGGAAAAAAGGTTTGGAAAATGTGACACTCACAAAACATATTGAAATCAGAAGGTACAGGAGAAAGCAGCGAGTAACTAACAAGCTATTGACAATGGGGGGGGTAAAATGTGGAGGAGGATCTAGACTGTTGTGGACTCCGGCCTTCATCAGCTGCCTGTTCATCCGGGCAACCTTCAAAGAATTTTGAACTATGGAAACAGAGAGTTCTCATTCTTATTTAGTACTAAGTTATTGATCACTTCGTCTCCACTGAGTACACAATGAACTCACAATAACTATGTCACCAAATTCATGAACCAATGCTTTCATCCACTAGGCCATTGTTGTCCTGTGGGACAATCCTGAGTGAAGAATTTGAAGCTTATGATGATCTGCTCACCTACATTTCATTTTTCTACTGTGATTTCTGCTGCTGCTGTTAATACCTTGCTGCCATTTCTCTTTCATTCTATTTTTAGATACGACACGCAAGCCTTTACTGTAATGTTGGGTGGGGGTGGCACTGTAGAGTAGATTGCAGTAGGATTGAAGCTCGGGTTGATGAATCGGAGAGCCGAGTTCCAATTCCAGTCGAGTTCATTACATCCACTTCAGTGCAAAGGGATGAATTCAACTCTTTTCCTCCCAACTATGGGTAAATAGCAGGACTGACTTGGTTCTGCAGCTTGCGTCACAACTCTGAATTCAAAACTGTATGTAGCCCTGGCGAAGCACATACTATGCAGCTAGCGACAGGATCGTTTGCATTGACTCGAACATCCCGACTACAGTCGACTCCTTTACATGTAAATAGAATATGGAAGCCTTTAATGTAACCAGTATATAGAAGCCTTTAATGTAAATGGGATATGGAATCCTTTAATGTAAATGGGATATGGAGCCTTTAATGTAAATAGGATATGGAAGCCTTTATTGTAAGTAAGATATGAAAGCCTTTAATGAAAATAGGATATGGAAGCCTTTAATATAAATGGGATATAGAAGCCTTTAATGTAAACAGGATATGGAAACCTTTAATGAAAATGGGATATGGAAGCCTTTAATGTAAACAGGATATGGAAACCTTTAATATAAACGGGATATGGAAGCCTTTAATGAAAATGGGATATGGAAGCCTTTAATATAAACAAGATATGGAAGCCTTTAATGTAAAAGGGATATGGAAGCCTTTATAATAAATATGATATGGAAGCCTTTAATATAAATGAGATATGGAAGCCTTTAATGTAAGTAGAATATGGAAGCCTTTAATGTAAACGGGATATGGAAGCCTTTAATGTAAGTATGATATAGAAGCCTTTAATGTAAATAGGATATGTAAGCCTTTAATGTGAATGGGATATGGAAGCCTTTAATGTAAATAGGATATGTAAGCCTTTAATGTGAATGGGATATGGAAGCTTTTAATGTAAATAGGCTATGGAAGCCATTAATGTAAATTGGATATGGGAGCCTTTAATGTAAATAGGATATGGAAGCCTTTAATGTAAATAGGATATGTATGTAGTTAATATAAATAAATCAGAAGCCAATGGTTAGAAAATCCTTGAGGATGGAGATGTCAGGCATCATAGAAAGAAGTATAAGAATCTAAAATACCATGTCTTTGCCATAATAACTGTTTTAGTTTTTACAAATGTTCCTGAAAGAATGCAATATGCGTAAACGAAAGAGTAAAGATGCTGATGTTAGTCATTCATTCAATAAACTTTATTGTTTCTTTCCAGAAAGTTGTCTAAAGAAGTCAGCGCCGATGTTGAAATGTTGACCAAAGCTCCAATGGTCATAATTGAAGGTGCAAACCACGGTTCTTTCTCGGATAATACTCTTACTGATTCGATGATACCACTTGATATTCCAGCTGAACTATCAGCCGATCAAGTCCGCAAACAGATTGCTGAATATATACGAATATTCATCTCATATAATACCGAAATATCATACAGTGAAATGCCTGCACAACAAGAATCAATCGAACAATGGTATAAAAGTACCGAAATGCGTTTACAGGTGAGGCAAGAATTTATAGCTGAATTTATTACCTTTGTTTGACACTCCAGGAATTTGACGTTTCAAAGATCAGAGCTTACGTCTCCGGTTTTCGAACTGAGATCAAAGTTAAGTATCTGTTATACAACTTTCTGCTGCCATGTTTCTTTCTTTTGGGTAGTTCAAGGAAAAGCTTTGGGGTGTCTGGTACCGAGGATTCCAACCTTGCGGCAACACCTCCCTCATTGAGCTTTATACGGGTTCAATGGGCATATTTTGGGGCCGAGCCCACGTGCTCGGAGAACCCACCATAAATAACCGACCTTGTGTCTCATGCTGCCCCAGTGGGGGGGGGTGACTGAATATCGTCGGTCGTTCACTTCTGAACCGACTGTTCTGTTGAACTCTCTGCCTTCGGGCAGGGAGGAACCGGAACGACGCTACGCCGAAGGGCGGAGTCTCGTTCGGGGAGGTAAACCGGCCCTGAACCCGTTTATACGAGTTCTATGGTTATATTTTTATTTTTTTCATGGCTTCAAGTATCAACGGCGACTAGAAGTGGGACTCTGGCTGAAATTCGGTCAGTTGATAAATACTTGGATTTTAAAATATTTCCAACGGGAAACAAGTAGAATTTTTTTTTTGTTCGTCTGCCTAAGACGCGATAAAATTTATTAAAACAAAGGAATTGTCTCTTTGTGTTACTTGTTGACCAAAGAGCATGCGAGAGGAAGGTGACAGATGACAAAACCTAAGTGTACCCGACCACCATGGACGCGATAAGAATTCCCCGCTGGTTGAAATATTGGATAATAATTGAATTTAGACATTTGGGTTAGACCACGCCTAGCCTCTGAGAACAGGCTTGATCGGAGGATATAGAGAAAGGTGGAGGCACAGGTAGAATTTCAAGGAAGACGGAGGAATCGCTTGCACCCTCGGGCGGTGATGATGAGAAGAACCCACACGAGATTGAAGGATTTGGGCTGATAGATATTCTGCCCCCACCACTCTTTGGGGGAGGAATCTCCCCAAATTTGATCAAATTTTCCCAAGACCAGACAACGAAAGATTCTGTATAGATGTTGAGTTTTCTCCGGGAACCCCAATCCACTTCATGCCCCACGCTGGGTTTGGGCGAATGTCCATAAATAAAAACGAGCGAAGCAAGAGACAGTTCAGGGTATTAAGAGAGGAAGGAACCAGACAGTTCCGGGTGTTGTTTGCGAGAGAGGGGCGTTGCCAGTTGGTTTAAGACCCGCTTTGCCAAACCCCACATAACTTCTGCAGAAAGAACTCCGGCCTTGTTCCAGGCTACCAATTACAACAGAATGGTCGGCCTGAAGAAATCACAGAATGGAAGAAATCAGACGTCAGACTTGTACCAGTTTACCGAGCGTGACTAAACATAGTGTCAGGGGTATTAAAAGGGGAGGTGCTGAAAATCTCGCCAAAGCCGGCGGATCAGCGACGTTGGGTATACAACTCGGCCTTTACCCGCCTTGTGATCTAAAACAACGTCGAACAGAGTGGGATTGAGGATCGGGGCGACCAACTCCAAGGCCGGCCGTAGGAATCGACCACGGAATTGCCCGATGACTGTGGCGGTGTGCGAAGTCATAAGGCAATTTCAAATATAGGACAGAATAAAACTTGGATTTTAAATTGAATTCTTTGTGATTGTTTCTACCATTGTTTTTTTTTTTTTTTTTTTGTCCTCAAATTTAAACGATTGCAAATTTCCTCCAAATTTATCGCTTTCGGTTTATCTTTTAATCAACGCCCCCCCTCCAACTTGACTTTGCCTGTCAAGGAGTGTGTGCCTGTCAGCCAAACACTTGCGCCAACGCCACACCAGAATAGTAATAAAACTCACCGATCCAGCAATAGAAGAATGTTATCAATATCAGCTTTGTGATTTTGCCATGAATTAAAATAATTTTCTTTTAAATAATAACTTTTTAAAAGCAAAAACAACTTTTTTTTATTATATGAATTATTTACAACGATTATTATTAGTAGTAGTTTTTTGACGTCTATTTAATTTCATGTTAATTTATTACATGTTATTTTTCAGCGAAACTTTATTTAAGCCGTCGATCTACAGCATTGGTGAAACAACATTGATCAGAAAATAATGAAATAAAATATGCATCTAAAAGTTAATAATAATAATAATAATAATAATAAGGCTTCATCTGGCTGCTGTTGATAATGCTGCTAATACAAATACAATGCTACTAATACAAATACAATGCTACTAATACTAATAATGCGACTAAAATCAATACAATGCTAGTAATAATGCTACTATTACAAGTACAATGCTACTAATAATAATGCTGCTAATAAAAATACAATACTACTAATACTAATAATACTACTAAAATCAATACAATGCTACTAATACTAATAATGCTACTAATACAAGTACAATGCTACTACTAATAATAATGCTACTAATACAAATACAATGCTACTAATACTAATAATACTACTAAAATCAATACAATGTTACTAATACTAATAATGCTACTAATACAAGTACAATGCTACTACTAATAATAATGCTACTAATACAAATACAATGCTACTACTAATACTAATGCTACTAACACAAATACAATGCTACTAATACTAATAATGCTACTAATACAAATACAATGCTACGGATACTAATAATGCTACTAATGCTAATACAACGAGTGTAAGAATGAAAAGAAATGAAGTGTTCCGAAATCGAGTAAAAATAAAGAATAGGTTTAAAAGTTAGATTTGATCCCTAGCTATAGTGTTCCTCTAGCTCAATCGGTTAAAGTAGATGATGTGCTTAACCAAGTTATTCCGAAACAGAGCAGATACGATTTCAAATCTCAGCGACGGCATTATTTCTGATCTATTTGTTTAATTGACGGTGTGAGTAAATTTGTGAAAGAATAATATGGAAGTAATTGATATATTTTTTTTAAAATTGAGTTCACCCTAAGCAAGGCAATAAAGCCACTAAGATACAAGGGGGTTAATGGGTGTGGAAGAATTAGAAACAGAAACATTAATAATGAGCGGAAAGAGAAAAGAGTAATCAGAACAATAGATAGCGATTGACATTGCATTTAAATTATTGTAGATTAAAGTTGACTGGAAAGCATGGAACCGGAAGGGAGTTCCACAAGCGAGAAGTACGAGAGAAGAAACTGTTAGCATAGAACTTACAGCTAAATCTAGCCAGCTCAACTGTTAATTGATGGGATCTCGACTCCAGTCCAATACTGCGCTTAAATTCATGCAGTCTAAGTACCATAGCGAAGTATTTTTAAAAATGCCAATCGTCATATATTTCGAATCGTAATGTGTGATTTTAATAATCTCACTTTGACAATGGAGTTTTATATGTTTTGAATTTGTTATGATTTTTCCGAAAAAAATTATCCAATTTTATGAGTGAAAATTTTTGTTTTTTCTTTGTTTAAATTCTGTTCTCTTTTTGTGTGTGTGTGTGTGTGTGTGTGTGTATTGCAGCCACTTTTGCTGATGAGTAACACGGAAGGGGAAGACAACTGTGCATCACCCTGGCTCAGCACATTGCAAATGTGGCTTTCTGGTTTAGATGGAAAAGACACACAACGATTAAAGGTAAATGATTTCAGACCCTTCACGCAAATTGACTTGTAAGCTGCCGTTATTTTCTGTGGTAGACTGGCTGCCAATCGTTTGCTCTGTTATTTAACCCATAGCTGCTGGCCGTACATTACAAATGAAAAAAAAAACAAGGCTTTAATACTTTTCAATTGACATATTCATATAAGATTCTACTAAACATAAAGTGGGGGATCGGTTTCCTATTGTCATTAAGTAGTAAAGTGATCACCTCTGAATAATTACATATTAATATCCTTCCTTGGGTAGAATGCGTAATGTACATTTGGTCGATCGTGTCTCTTTTCGATTCATGATTGACTTGATAGAATAATTCCGATAGTAGATTGCCATTTCTTTCTGCGGTAGACTGGTTGCCAACCAAGGCTATAGAACTCAGTCTGTGCTGCTGTTTAACCTGGGGGTGGGGACAGAGTTGGATTCATACCTATCTTAAGGGTATTTACGCGTAAGGGAAATTTAACGAACTCGAATGGAATTCGACCTCGTCTCTCCGCTTTCTCATTTTGAGCTGTTATCCATCACACCACCCACGCATCTAAGCTTACATCACCTGTTATTTCCAACTGGTCACCCATCTAGGTACTGGCCAGGCTCAGTGTTGCTTAACTTCGGTGATCAGACGAAACTGGTGATTCAAATATGGCCATAAACTCTTTTACTAAGCTTGACTTAGTTTAAGAGAAGTTCAAAATATTGTCACAAAACAACCTTCATAAACTCTTTTACTAAGTTTAAGAGAAGTTCAAAATATTGTCACAAAACAACCTTCATTTCACGATTTGATAGGAACGATTAGATTACATCAAACAAACGTCCTGTAATATCAAAGACCTGAAGAACACCAGCGTGTCAAACCCTGTCAATCGCCTTCGAGATATCTCGAGCCACAGCTCGACATTCGCCATTATTATTAAGTGCTTGATATACATATTCAGCGATGGCCGTTAGCACGTCAGCAGTAGACCGGGCAAAACGGAAGTCATATTTTTTTCTCAGAGAGTAGGTCGTGAAAGGTAAGATACTTAACCACTTCAGCATTGATTAAAGCCTCCAATATTTTGCCCAAAAGCAGTAGGAGATTAATAGAGCGATAGTTAAAGGTGTCAGAAGATTCTCCAGAGTTCTTAAAAACAGGAACTACAGAGGAGGACTTCCAACAAAAAGGAAGCCATATACAGGGTGCAATGGGTGCCATTTTGTATTTTTTATTTCGCGCATGCGCGTTTTTTGTCTTTGATTTTGTCAACTGCACATTATAGTAGGGTCAGATGGGCACCATCTGTGAGAAAAAGAGCATTATGACACAATTCACTCCCGTAGAAATTTGGAAACGGTATGCTGTACTGCGTGGCATTCACGCCGTAAGCTCCAGTACGAATATTTCAGAGTGTTTGGGTGTTAATCTGAGGACAGTACAGAGGATTCGGAAAGAGTTGGATGAGTCTAATGGTGATTATGAAGGTATTTGGCGTGATCACTAGTGATGGTAACATTATGCCATCATTCATCTTCCCACAGGGCCTCAGACTCAACATGGAGGCCTACATCAATTGTCTTGAAGAAATAGTGCTTCCCTGGGTCAAGAAGGTGGCTGAGGAGGCATGTCTGGCAACAGGACTCTGCACCATGCTACAAAAGCAGGCGAACCCAGTCATGGCTGTCAGACAATTTCTGCGACCACATCACCCTGGCCACCTAAATCCCCAGAATGCAACCCCCCTTAATTATTATGTATGAGGCGCAGTTGAGCGAGAGACCAACAAACCTCCATGTAACACCAAAGACGAACAAAGGAAGGATTATGGTGGCATTCCTCAACTGAAACAAGGAGACCGTCCAGAAGAGACGCAGGAGATCCCGTAGTCGTCTGGAGGCCGTAGTTGAAGCCAATGGCGATTTTATTGAATAAATTTACTCTTTAGTATTTCAAGATATTTTTGTGTAATTTTAGTAAATATATCGGTTAAAATGAGATGTCAGTGTTATTTTCATTTTTGCGTCATTTATCGGACAATTTATCCATCGCATTCCATATATATACATATATATATATATATACATATACATGTGTGTGTGTGTGTGTGTGTGTGTGTGTGTGTGTCTGTGTGTGTGTGTCCGTGTCTCTGTGTGTGTGTCTGTGTCTCTGTGTGTGTGTGTGTCTGTGTGTGTGACTGGAACAGCAGAATCGATGAACCAAATTCTAATTTCGGCTAAAGCTGCTGATGTTCATGTCGCACAAATTCTTCTGAGAAAGTCATGAACCCACTTTTCCCTGCGTTCTGTCCCACTGCTTGATATCTTGACAACTATCTCATCACTAACATGGTACGCTGGTTAATAGAGAAAAGAGCTAAGCAGTGGACACTTGGAAAAAGCCACTCCACCATAATTGCATTACCTTCTGGGGCAAGCGGCACAGGGGCCAATATGTTGTGCATTTAGGCAGCAAATATTCTTCTTTAAGGCAAATATTATGAAATACATTTTGTGACGATTAATTTTATTGATCGACTTTTCTAAATTACGAATGATCTTTCCCAGGCAAATTCCATCAGAAATTGTCTTAAATTCATTTTGGAAGAAATATGGTTGAAGGTTTCAACTTTCTTAAGTTATCATCAGGTTAAATAGAGATAACAGGTGAATTTCGTAGAACTAGTGAGTGTTGTGACATCGGCAAGGTGCGAACCCACGTCCTCAAATGTATATAAAACACGCGCGTCACACATTGCTTACGTCACAACACGCTTTTATTGTGTAAATGGCACATTGCCCCACAAATCCACCCAACAGAGATATTTATATACGCATACATATGAATGAATTGGACAACTTAAAACTTTCATTATATTGAAACTGGTCACCGCGTTCATTTTTGTAAAAAAAAATGGAATAACTGAAGCACAAACAGTAAAGTCCATCTACCCTCGGCGGGCCACATGTCGAGAATGTAAGGCAAATGTCTATCAAAGCGGAACAGAAGAGCACCACAGAAGAGATACAGAAGAGAATCCTTTAAAGGGGCCGTCATTTTAGGGGGAATTAACTAGCGTAATGGCATTTAGAGATTCGTCTTTGCTGGTCAAACTCTCTGCCTCCGAGCAGAGAGGACGCCCAGATGAGGCTATGGGTCGAAGGGCCAGAGTCTCGTCTCGGAAAACACCTACCCGACCCCGTTTTATACGAGCTCTACGGTGAATTTTTGGCCGAGCCTACGGGCTCGGATACTCTACATTGAATTCGGCCATGTGCCACATCTGACCGCGTGGGGCAGTTGGTAGATATCCTAACGTAACGAAACGTGGCACAAGGTCGAGTTTAAAATAATGGTCCCACGCGTATATGGAACCAAAGACCAAAAATAATCCTCCCTCGGCATGTGTGTGTTTTTATACTGTGTGTGTGTATCTGTGTACTTTGTGCGTGTGTATGCGTTGCCACTTTTTGGCCAGACAGGGAAGAGGAAAATATACATTAGTATTTCTAAGAATACCTTTTCCTTTTTTAATCTTGACTTTAGAAATTCATTTTTTTTCTCTTCGCTATAATGCTAAATAAGGTGAAAAATAAAAAAACATAAATAGTTGTCCTGAAAAAAATCTGCCAAAAGAAAAAAGAAATGGCGTACGTGTGTGTGTGTGTGTGTGTGTGTGTGTGTGTGTGTGTGTGTGTGACAGAGAGAGAGTTGTCGTGATTCAACCAGACATAAATTAAGGAATGGATGACTGCCACAAAATGTTTGATGTCACCACTCAACGTCACTCGTTAAAAACAATAAACAGAGAAGGTGACAGGGGGAGTGAGAGAAAGAGAGGAACTCATACACTAATGCATAGACAAACACTTAATAAATCTAAAAAAATTACACTAGCATGCGTTTATGTGGAATAATTAAATGTGCCTAATTTAATCTGATTTTGAAGAAAATTATCAAACCAACTTGACTTGAATAAGAATTAGGTTTTATTATATATGTTTCCCGGCTTTTTTAGTCAGATGTCAAAATTTCCGCGATGAAAACTGAAGATACCTATATTTAGGACAAATTTTAGTTAGATGATAACATTTTTCTTAGACCATAATTTATAGTAAATTTTCTTAAAAATTGTAAAGAGACATAACAGGCCCGCTGCTAGGGCGTTATAATTGGGGGTGGCCTTTAATTCGTCGGGGTGAGGTGGGGGGCTACGAGTAAGAATTAGCAGTAAAATATTTTCACATCTTTTTCCTTGTGAGTCGTTATTTTTTGCGGGGGCGTGGGAGGTCAGTGAACACCACCACCCTCCGGGGTCAGAGGCCAGGGTAACACTAATGACATAGAGGCGCTACTGGTCTATATGTGTGTATGTTCACCTGATAAATATCAATTAGGAGTCTATATGAATTTTTATATTTTTTTTAACAGGTTTCGAGTTGTGTAATCGATACGGAGAGAAATGTCACTCCAGATTTACAGGTTCTAAAGAACTATGGTAGTGAACCGGTTTTGTTTCTGTCTGCTTTTCTGCAATTTGTGCAGAAACAAAATGCAGGCGAGGATAACGCCCAAATCCCTCAGTCACCAAGAGAGATCAAAGCCCGGATGTTGAGTGCTGAACGGATCCGGGCCCACTTGAAGAACACGACAGCAGCTCGAATTTTGACTTGCAAGGATTTAAACTACGTATGTTTACTTTTTGCTTTCAGTTATTTTGTCAGTTCAGAAGGTGGTTGGCACGTGTGTTATGCCCTGCCATTACCTCAGATAAATAATAGACCATTCCATTTTGACTGCGAGGAAAGACGGAAGAAAAAGATATAGCAGAGACGCTGTTTGTATTAAGAAAGAAAGAAAGAAAGAAAGAAAGAAAGAAAGAAAGAATGATAACGCTCTCAAACATTTAACGTCTGCCTCGGTGAAATGGAATTGTATTTGTTCTGATAAACTTTCCTCTATGGTACCTAGTTTTCATGAATTTAAGCGAAAAACTAGATTGGCGACAAGATATCATCAGTTATCTCCTCTTAATTCCCCTCTCCAAGGACACATGGCACAGTGGATAAAGGCGTTATTTAGATCCAGTGACAGGACCCAAAAAGTGTGAGTTCAATACGTGGTTAAGGCGGTGGAGAACTTGGAGAGGGGAATTAACAGGAGATAACTGACACCCATTAAACATGGCACGTGGAACTAGAACAGTCTACCCCAGTGAGCGAAATAAAGGGTTCAGTTCGACATTCCAACCACCTGAAGAAGGCCGGAGTGTACAACGACCGAAACGTTGTAGTAAATATGGCGACAAAGATGAGGACAATAGTCCGAATAATGTAAATAGTGTACATAATACCTCATCTCAGAAATATAGTCAGATATTGAAGGGCCGAAACGTTGTAATAAATATGGCGACAACGATAAGGTCAATAGTCGGATTAATGTAAATAATGTACATAATACCTCATCTCAGAAATATGGACAGATACTGAAAGGCAAAACAGATTTGAATGCTCGCGGCCGATGATCTTCATAGTCTAATTGATAAAACAGTTTTCGCAGTAAGATAGGGTTCCCGATATTAAGGCATGGGGTGCGAGATCAAGTCACAACGTTTCGGCTGTTGTACGCTCCAGCCTTCTTCAGATGATTAGAATTTCGAACTAAACCCTTTATTTCGTCCACCGGAGTAGATTGTTCCTGTTCTATGTGCCACGCCTCTTCCGGATGTCTCAATTACTTCCCTTTAACTCAATTCTCCAAGTTTTTTAGTCCACCACTACTGATTAGATCCAGTAACTAGACCCAAAGAGTTGTGAGTTCAATACCAGGCTACAGCAGTGATGAACCAAAACTCTTGGAGAGTTGGGTTAAAGGGAAATAACTGAGACATCCGGAAGAGGCGTGGCGCGTAGAACGAGAACAATCAAATCCGGTTGACTAAATAAAGGGTTTGGTTCGAAATTTCAATCACCTGAAGAAGGCCAGAGCGTACAACGGCCGAAACGTTGTGAATATGGCAATGAAGATGAGGATAACAGTCTGAATAATGTAAATTGTGCTCTCCAACTTTTCTTTTTTAGAATTCTCATGCATAATTAAAATTCATCTCCATTTTTTATTTGCTATTTAGAAAAACAAAGATTAATCAGAAATCAAATTCGTACTTTGTTCCTTCGGATAATTTCCTGTTCTTTTTTTTGTGTGTGTGTCGCAGTTTCGAGCCGTTTGTATTTCCTTCTTCCTATTTTGCAGGCGGCTTTTGTGACGGCGCTGTCAATGGCGTCCAGTAAAGCGCTCGAACGTTATTATGCGAAACATTTAGGCGCCATCTTCCACGACGACATCGTAGTGAACACGCTGACTGAATGGGAGCAGAGCGAACTTCGCATCGAAAGTCTGCTTCACGAACAACACATCACTTCATTCGTCTATCAAACGGAGACGGAGACGGTGAACGGAGAAGTTCAAGAGGGTGAAGCCGGGGGTGGCCTCTACTTCTGCAGATTACTCCCGCCCACCCGAGTTCTTGAATGGATTTATGTTGACTCCCTACAAAGCGGCCGGTATCGAATGAAATGAGCGGTACACAAGTTTCATAAAAATGCAACATTAATACATGAAGTTAATTATTTTTCCCAAAGCAAAAGAAATTGGGGGGGGGGGAGTATTTCAAATTCAAGTGCCTTTGCGAATAAATATAAATTCATCAATTCTAATATAAATCCAAAGACAACTGGCTATGCTAAAAGAAATTCATTGGGAGAAGAGAGAACATCAAATCTCTTATCCTGAATTTCATGAATGGTGCGAACGAAAAAAACGCGACTCATATTCCGATGTGAAAATTGAAAGAAATTTACAATTACAATGACATAAAAATATAAAAATAGCACAGAATACAAAACTTACAAAACAAGCTTGTACAAAATGTTCCTTTGTGTGCCAAACAATTACACAAGATACCAAGTTCTAAATTACAATTCTGTTGGGCTCATAAAAATAATAATAGTTTTCAATAAAATATTCATTTACTGTCATTCATTCAACTGTCAAAAATCATTGAGGAAGAAGACAAATTCAGAAGAGTCGCAGGGTAATTTATAGACAATAGTTCAGTTTTAAAACTGAAATTCTAAATGAAGATATTTTCTTAAAAGTTCAAAATCAGGGTTGATACGTCTAAATTTGTCAATCTTCTTTTTCAGGATTTCTTTGTGTTTCTTTCTTCTTCCGTTTCTTCCCTTTCGTCGTCGAATTAGTTTAAAAAAAAAAAAAAAAAAAAAAAAAAAAAAAAACTGCCAACGCTCATTCGCCTGTGAAAACAAAAAATCTTTCCAGTCCTTAAACCAACCCGACTTTTGAAATAGCCGCAAAACAACTCTAGATTCAATCCCAAATTTGAAATTTACGTAGGCGTAACTTACTTTACACGTTGATAAATATACACAAAACTGTATCTCTTTAAGCCACGTCAGTTCACACGCTTTATTTGGGCGGATTTTCAGACCATAATACTCGAACATCTTTTTCTTTGTTTTTTTAAACAAATTTAAAAATTAAATTTTCTACCCTGTAACCTTGTAAAAAACCGGTCCGTTTTATTTTTACGGTTCTTTTAAAGCATCAGATATGAACTTTTTTTTTTTACAAATTTTGCAACCAAAATTTTATTCAAGCCATTTTTTATTAACCGTCTGCTGTAACAGTTCTTTACTTGAAAGGTCGTGTTCGTAACTTTCATTTTTTAATAAATGTTTTTGTATAACACTCTCCCTCAAAAGAAAATGTAATAAACAAACGTATTTCGACTGTATTTTTTTATTCACCCTTTAATTACTTTTATATAATTTTACATTTTTATTATATAAATTGTTATACTCTCTAGCTCAATATATATATATATATATATATATATATATATATATATTTACTAGCCAAATTAATCGTGCCTTGCTGTGTGTCTTACTATTTTTTTTATAAGGAACTGTTGGTTGATTTTAAATTATTGCTATAATTTGTGGAGAAAAAGGATGCATTTCAATATGACTCAATGGTTTTGCCAATGCGACCTCCATCTTCTGGTTTTCTCCTTCTATATTTTGGATAGCAGTCATTCCCTTGTTTAAATATAAATTTAACAAAATTTTAAAACAAAAAATCTTTCCAGTCCTTAATCCAACCCGAATTTTGAAATAGCCGCAAAACAACTCTAGATTTAATCCCAAATTTGAAATTTACGTAGGCGTAACTTACTTTACACGTTGATAAATATACACAAAACTGTATCTCTTTAAGCCATGTCAGTTCACACGCTTTATTTGGGCGGATTTTCAGACCATAATACTCGAACCTCTTTTTTTTTCTTTTTTTTCTAACAAATTTAAAAATTAAATTTTGTACCCATAACCTTCTAAAAAACCGGCTCGCTTTATTTTGGTTCTTTTACAGCATGCACATATATATATATATATATATATATATATACTAGCAGAATTACTCGTGCCTTGCTGTGTGTGAGACTATTTTTTATAAGAAACTGATGCTTGATTTTAAATTATTGCTATAATTTTTGGAGAAAAATGATGCATTTCAATATGACGCAAATGTTTTGCCGATGCGACCTTCATCTTCTGGCTTTCTCCTTCTATATTTTGGATAGCAGTCATTCCCTTGTTTAAATATAAATTTTTCATAAAGGCGAAAATTTTTTAGTGGCAGTTTTGTACAACCCCAACCCCACCCGGGACACCCTTTGATCAAAATGAAATATGCTTATTCAAATTCCCTGGGTAATGTACTTTCAGAATATATATGGAGATATATATATAGGGATCCATCTACATAACCCTTAGAGTTCGATAACTGTCTACAACTTTATATAGATTTCATTTAAAAAGTGTTAGTAACTTTCTTTTAATAAATGTTTATAAAACACTCTCCTTAAAAAAAAATAAACAAATTTAGTCTATTACAGTGTAACCCGGATATAAGAGAGTTGTCGGGACCGGAGAAGAAGTCTCTTATATCCGGGTTTCTCTTATATCCGGGTTTGGTCTATTTTATATACATTAACACAGGCTCTAATTTGGGACCAGAGAAAATCTCTCTTATATCCGGGTTTCTCTTATATCCGGGTTACACTGTATATTTTATTTGCCCTTTATTTTTTATATAACTTAAGATTTTTTTTAATTATATAAATGTTGATAATACTTTACTCCAATGAAAATATAAAAGCACCAACCCACATAACTTATTACTTAGCATTCAAGACACCTTTCGCCAAAGGTAAAAAAATATATAATATTATTATTTTCTTTTTAATGATGTTTACCCAATACAAGGCTCAAGAGACACTCATGATAGAGGCTTAGTGAATGAAATGCCTGCAAGAAGTGGCAGAAGAAAGTGAAAATTAACATGAAGAGAATAGTTAGTGTAATTGATGTTTGATTTGAAGAGAGATTAAGATTGTAGAGTTTTAGGGAAGTAACCACGCAGGAGTTTGTTTCACGGGAAAAGGCTATATAGAACTTCATCGTTAATTAAATGCCGGCTTGATATTATTCAAGTACTGCAAATGTCTAATGTTTATTTGTAGATAAACAAACGTAGCAGCAGTGATGATCTTTTCTTTTAATTGACTGCTAAAACAAAATTTCATTTTAATTTTTTTTCTTTTTATTCTTAAAAATTCATGGAAGTTAAAATGAATTTAAGAAGGAAAATAATAAGTTCTTTAAACTATTTTATTGCTATTTCATTAAAATTAAATTGTTCTTCTTTCATAAAAAAAATTATAAATATCAAGAAAGTTCGGTACATGATCTTTTTACGTATCCAAGATGAAAAATATTTTTGATACAAAGTAATTGTTTGGATTTTTTTATATTACCCTCCTCCGCAAAAGTGACCACACGTTGATTGCCAGAAGTGTCAATTATGAAATTTGACTTCAAACGCCAACGTTAGCCAGCTTAGAAAGAAATGTTTATGAGTTCATTTCTAGTTTCAACTGAAGTCTTAACATTGTTTGCCCACTTAAATGTCTCAGTGCGAATCAAGTCGTTGTTGTCGCTGGCGCCCGCAAATGACAATGTACAGGGTGCCATGGATAAATTGTCGTCTAAACGACGCAAAAATAACACTGACATCTTATTTTAACAGATATATTTACCAAAATTAAACAAAAATATCTTGAAATACTAAAGAGTAAATTTATTCAATAAAAATCGCCATTGGCTTCAACGACAGCCTCCAAAAGACTTTGGAATCTCCTGCAACTCTTCTGGATGGTCTCCTTGTTTAAGTTGGTGAATGCTGCCATAATCCTTGCCTTCAGTTCATCTTTGGTGTTACAAAGAGTTTTGCTGGCCTCTTGCTCAACTGCATATAATAATCAAGGTGTCCAGATGTAAAGGGTGATGTGGTGGCAGAAATTCTCTGACAGACATGACTGGGTTTTCCTACTTTTGTGGCATGGTGCAAAGTCCTTTTGCCAGACATAGTCTTTCAGCAGTCACCCTCTTGACCCAGGACAGCACTACCTCATCAAGGTGATTGTTGAGTCTGAGGCCCTCACCAACAAATTCGGAAGTTCTTTTCTCATCCGGACGATTAGAGCGGGTTTTCCAAGCTCTCGTACCATCGCAATCACCATTAGACTCATCCAACTCTTTCCAAATCCTCTACATTGTCCTCAGATTGACACCCAAACACTCTAAAATATTCGTACGGGAACTTCCGGCGTGAATGCCAAACAGTACAGCATGCTATTTCCAAATTTCTAGCGGAATGAATTACGTTATGCTGCTCTTTTTCTCACAGACGGTGCCCAACTGACCCTACTATATTGTGCAGACGACAAAATCAACAAAACGCGCATGCTCGAAATTAAAAATATAAAATGGCGACAATTTACCCAATTTAGCCTGTATCAGAAAATGCCACAAACTTCATTCACACTCTTCTCCCTAACCGTCTGTATTTTTTTTTTTTTTTTTTTTTAATATTTAGGTAATTATCCATACTAAAGGCAGATCCTACCCTGGTCAACTATATATTTGGTAAACTGTAAACTCCAGAATCTCAAAATTTTTTAAGAGTTTCTTTAAAAATTAATTCAAAATAAAATCATAATTAAAAAAAAAAAATCAATGTAATTTTTTCCGTATTCATGGTATCAGATTTGCAACGAAAAACTTTTTAAAAAATCGTATTTAAAATCGTTAATTCAGTTTTTTTTTAAAGACATTGTAATTTATTGAAACAAAGCAAGTTCAGTTGACCATTGATGACAATCCTTGGTTTTACCGAAATCATTTATTTATTAATATAAGCACAGGAAAGAAGCTCACTTCGTTTAAACTAAAGATATTGTCTTAAAAAAAAAAAAAAAAAGATTTTTGACACAGGTAAACACTGAAATAAGACCTAACTGATTATGTATGAAGAGAAAAGGGTGGGGTCAACAAACCGCTTTGAAAGGAAATCATGACACTAGAGAACAATATTGGAGAATAGGTCGATTAAAAAGAATCAACACTCACGTCGTGAGGCACTGATAACCACTTCAGTAG